TGCTTCTGTTCATTCATTTATTCAAAAGATTTTTTTTGTGTGCCACATTTCCAGATCTGGATGATTTCTATGTATGCATCCTTCTAAAAATAAAAAAGTACACAAGTGGGTAGGTTTGTGTTTAAGGTGCACCTACCAGGAACGCCTCAGTTACAAGTGGAAATCGATCCCTTTTTAGCATGTGCAGGCAGAAAACATTTTAGTTGAGACCTCAGAAATATAATTTAGCAATCAGAACCAATCAGCATTTGACACAATTTCGTACACAATGATTTCAAGGAATTAGTGATGCTGAAACTAAAGTTAACAGGTGATGGATCTTTGTGTATTTTGGTAAAGGTTTATTTTGCTTTTGGCCAGGCTGGCTTCACCTCTTTTGAACCCTCTACTTATAAATGTGGTGAAGGTAGGCATCTGTCACATAATGACTTCATTCCTGTTGGTTGTGACAGTTTGGCATTTGCATGTGGTGTTGCATAATAAAATGACATATTTGGATGTCACATATCCTTAGAGTGGTTCTGGGTTTTTTTTTTAAAAACCCAGCCCTTCTTATAGGTTGGACTTCCAAAGAACTACACTTTATTAATTTTTTTGCTGTTAATTTGGCAATGTAACTTTGGGCTGCACATTATTTCCCAACATGGGAAATGAAAATAAGCTTAGTTTTGTCTTTTTGAGTGGATTTATTCAGTGCTTATATGTGCGACTAAGATTGGCCCCATCATGGAATATTTTTAAAGACTTGGCATATTTAATTTTAACAATGCAGATGTTCCTTGAAAGGTAGATTTGGCTTAGTCCATTAATATTTGCTGGGGGAACAAAGGGTTAACTGAAGTGTACTTCGCAAAATCAAATGGAACCAAAGCATAAATTGAATATGATTAGGGTGTATTTCCCCCACAGAAGAGTTTTGTTTAAAATACACCATGACCAAAAGCTTAATTATCAAAATAAAACAAGAGGAATCAAGAGTTACAGGCTTCTGATATTGTGTTTCAGCCCTTCGTTCCCTTCACACAGTTATCAGCATGTGTAATTTCCATGCATAATAGCACTAGTTATTGTTGTCATTTGTAAAGGGAGATTAACAGATAGTAAGTACAAACAAACCCAAATAAGTACTGAATAGAGAGGTGACAAAGGAGAAAAGACCTCCTTAATGTTAATTATAACTGGTAGGAAGTCTAGACAAATTATATTATCTGTTTTCTATATGATTTGAAAGGACATTTAGTTAGTAACTCTGTCAGAGATAGAGTTAGGTGTTTGCTTTAGAAACAGGTGAGGTGACAACTTAGCATCTCTTTGGTTGGCAGCTTGCTAGTGAGTCATGAAGTTGTAGTAAATTGATGGAATCAAGTTTCCAAAGCACCTGAAGGGTAGTTGAGCTTTGTGAAGGGTGTATTTAAAAAAATTAAAGAATAATTTTAATTTGCAGGTTATATCCCAGTAATTAAAAATGTATTGTCTCGGGGCACCTGTGTGGCTCAGTGGGTTAAACCTCTGCCTTTGGCTCAGGTCATGATCTCAGGGTCCTGGGATTGAGCTCTCTGCTCAGCAGGGAACCTGCTTCCCCCACCCCCCACCCCTCCCGCCTGCCTTTCTGCCTAGTTGTGATCCCTCTCTGTGTGTCAAATAAATAAATAAAATCCTTTAAAAAAAAAAACTATTGTCTCAAAACATGCAGGTTGTTGCCTGTCTGCTTGCTTTTTAAAACTTTTGTTTAGAATTGAATGAATTACAGTTGGGGTTGGCATCCTTACCTGATACCTATTCCAAAGTGTGTGTAGAGCCTCAGATAGCAACTTTAAGGTAGCAAAGCCAGATGAATGATCAAGGAGTAGTCCAGTCCTCCACGTCTCATACATAGTTTGCTTGAATTCTACTGCTTCCTTTACTAATATGCCTAAATGGGTACTTCTGAGAAGAACTAGTCTCACTGTTAGTATTCATAGGCTGCATTGAAAATGTAATACCTGCTGGGGTCAGTACCACTGTCTCCCTCTGTATCCCCCATGCCTAGGACAGGCTAAACCGAAGTGTCTGGTTTCCTTAATTCTGAGGGGCCATCGATTGTGAACTGCACTCTTGACTTAACAGTGCTTTAGAAGGAAACAAACACGTTATTAAATGTATATATCAATTGTAAATACATCTGAGTTTCTGAAATATCAAAATGTGAATTAAAATCATGTCCTCGGGGCGCCTGGGTGGCTCAGTGGGTTAAACCTCTGCCTTCGGCTCAGGTCATGATCTCAGGGTCCTGGGATCGAGCCCCGCGTCGGGCTCTCTGCTCAGCGGGGAGCCTGCTTCCTCCTCCTCTCTGCCTGCCTCTCCACCTACTTGTAATCTCTGTCAAATAAATTAGTTAATTAATTTTAAAAAATCATATCCTCGAGTCAGGGAAATGTAGTTATAGGCCTGATGAATTAGAACAGAGTTGCCTGTGACCCAGAACCACTGATTGCTTCTTCTAGTTTGTGTTCTGCTGTGGTGGTGGTTTTTTGTCTTGGGTAGGAGCCACATGACTCCAACCCTTTTCCGTCTCGTTTGGCATTTATACTTGGTACTATACAACTTGGTTCTTAAGGCCAAACCTTACTGAATTACTTTTAGTCTTTGTGTGTGTGAATCTTTCTTATCTAGGTTGTCATTTCCTGAAACTCTGTCTCTGGGGCCTCTTTGGCTACTCCACACAACATTTAATGTAATTCTGGGCATATATTAAAGGTTTCATAAGGAGTCCTTGAGATGCTCTATCTGAAAAGTTTAATTTTTAAAATAGTTCAGCATATTGATTGAAGATAGGAATGAAGTTCACTGTGAATGTATTGACTAGGTGAATTTTATAATCTTTAAATGTATTATATTTTCTTTTAGTCAAAAACTTTTACAGTCTACGTTCTCTGGCTGTGAAAGCCATAAATGGAGCTGGAAGAACTGATTTTTAGTGCTCTCTCTTGAGTCTGGTTGTAGTTTCTTCCAAGAAGAACCTATTCTGAGGACTGAGGTCACACAGCACAACAATGAGTGGGGACATCCTGCAGATTTGGAGTAAAGCCATGCAGCAATGTTAATAAGTGGCAAATGAAGGTCCCCAATGTAATTAAGCAGGATTTGTGTATATACTGCTCTGAGCTAGGGGGAAAAGACCAATGACCTGCTCCACTGAGAAACAGAGAACAGGGTTAAACATGCCATTGATTCTTTCCTTAATCACATCTCACATAGCTCTCTGGCTTTCATTCTTTTGCATGTGTCCTTCTCTCTGCCTAAGTGGTCTTTTCTGCTTTCTCCACCTGCCAAACTTCTACTCACTCTTCAAGACCATTTCAGAAGTTCTGCTTCCCCACATACTCCCAAGACCCAAAGACAGCTAAGTCCCTCTTTGCAGCTGCCTAGGTGGGAGCACCATGCAGTAGGGAATACACCTTGTACCCCAGCACTTCAGCCTACTTTGCTTAGCCTTATTGTGCCTAATACATGCAGCACTAAACCCGTAAACTCTGGTGCCTTCATAAGAACACCTGAGCTTTGGGGTGCCCAGGTGGCTCAATTGGTTAGGCATCCGACTCTTGGTTTCAGCTCAGGTCATGATTTCAGGGTCGTGAGATTGAGCCCCACGTCGGGCTCCATGCTCAGCAGGGAGTCTACTTGGTATTCTCTCTCTCCCTCTGCCCCCCCACCCACATGCTCATGTGCATGTGCTCTCTAAATACATACATACATACATACATACATACATACATACATAAAATCTTTTTTTTGAAGAAGAATACCTGAGCTTTGCTCCACCCCATTCGTGCAGTTTTGTATCCCTTTTGGAGCAGGTATGTTTTATAGCAAACATGACACTAATTTAAGATAATAGGCATGTTGTTATCACATCTCTATGAGAAAATTCAAACAAGAGCAGCAGGGAGGGTAACTGAAGAAGGAAAGTGAGAAGAGCGTCTAAAGGCCAGAGAAGTGGGCAATGACTGTTTCAGAAGTGGGAAAAGAGTGGTCGGTTGAAATTGTCCTTGAAAACATTGCAGCCAGTTTTATGCCTCCAGATTATGTGTGTAGAAGAATGTCTTAATTTTAAATAATTGCTTCCTTTAAGTGTTTCTTATATGCTGAGTATAGCTCTAAGTGTGCTAAACGTATTGCATCATTACAACCTGCAAATACTGTTGTTGGGCCTATTTTACAGAGAAGGAAGCTGAGCACAGCAGTTAAGTCACTAGCTAGTAGTCATTCAGCTATTGGGAAAGCCATTCATTTCTACATGGTATACTCTTTTTTTAGGATTTATATATTTATTTTAGGGAGCATGCATAAGTAGGGGGGAGGGGCACACAGAGAGGGAGAAGCACACTTCCCGCTGAGCAGGGAGCCTGACGTGGGGCTCCATCCCAGGATCCGGGGATTGAGAGCTGAGCCGAAGGCACACGCTTAACCAGCTGAGCCACCCAGGCGCCCTACATGGTATACTCTTGACTTTGATAATGGTCTTTATCAATGACCGAAAACCCATCCGTATGTAATCATATAAGCTTTTACTGGGAGGTTTTGCTGTATGCATGCCAGGGAGTCTATTTTAAGAAGGGATGAATATCTTACGTGATTTTTTTTTTTAATATGAAGAGTTTTCTACCTGTTAAGGTTGGGGCATAGATCAAAGTGACATGTCAGGGAAGAATGATAAGGAGCTATTTCAGAATCTCTAAGGAAAGTTTGAGCTAAATGAGTCCATCTTGATAATGAAAGGGATTTTATTTTGTTTGTTTAAAGATTTATTTGTTTATTTGAGAGAGAGAGAGAAGCAGATTCCCTGCTCAATACAGTGCCTGACACTGGCTTGATCTCACCACCTTGTGATCATGACCTGAGCCAAAACCTAGAGTCGAATGCCTAACTGACTGAGCCATGCAGGTGCCCTGAAAGGGGTTTTTGTGTGTATTTGTTTGATGGTGGTAATAAAACTGAAGTGTTCTCTTTCTTCTTTCAAGGGCTGGTTGATTTGTGAGGAGCCAACCTGTCGAAATCGAACTAGGCGCCTTCCCCTTCAGTTCTCCCGAAATGGGCCTCTTTGCCAAGTCTGCATGAAAGCTACACTTCGGCCAGAGGTAATAGTCACGTGTTGCTAAAGAACTGTTTAGAAGGGAGCGGGGGTCTGTATTTTCCCATCCCTTAGCTCTGAGAGGTAGATATTTGATATTTGCCCTCTGGAAACACCCTACTACCACACATGTGTATTTTTTTTAAAAACTCAGACTTCAAAAAGGTAAATATTTTTTCACATCATGAAACTAATGTTAAAAGACTAATGTTAAAAGAGAAACTGACTAGTTCTCATAGAAATTACTCTGGTTTCTTTGGTTGCCACTTCATAATTACACAGAAGGAACTGCTTTTATAGAAACTTGTCCTCGGACTAGGTCAGAACCCCTTCTGTAAGGGCCACAAAACCTCCCAAACCTATGACCTAAAGGATTTATTGTCTTTGTGTGGGATTCCATTGTTTCCATGGGACGGCGTATCCAGCTTTTTCTCTACCTGAGCACGGACACCTGAGGGAGGAGGCCCACTATCATTAGTGACTTCCAAGTAGGGAGCACATAGTCTGGAAACACCTTCCTGGTATTGGCTTTCCTTGTGTTGTACCCTTGGAGCATTATCAGCCCAAGCAGCATTCCTCACACCTTGGGGAGAGAAGTGTTTGAAGGTCTTCCTTGCAAAGAGGGTTTTGTGATCGGTACATCTAGCAAAGTCTGGGCTAGCCAGAGTTAAACAAGCTTATTGCAGATTGTCTGAGAGCCTGTAAAATTATAATATGCAATCAACCTCTCCAGTACAGGACTGTAATGTGTCTTGCTTTACAAATGTGTCCGGCCCGAGGATTTATAAGGATTTTGGTGAGAAGAAAGTAGGAATAAGGAAACTGTTATTTACTTTTTTTTTTTTTTAATGCTAAGGCAGTGTTCTATTATCAAGTCTTGACTTCAGGTCTTTTCACTGAAAAGGGTTGGTATACAGGCTACTTTTAGGAAAATATTTTAAAGTTCTAATGGTTCCTTATTTTAAGATAACAGGTCATTTTACAAAATTTAGTGAGGAGTCTTAAGCTACAAATGGCTACTACCATTGTATATTCTCTTGTTGTTTTGCATAGCCATATGTATTTTTTAAAAGATGTTATGTATTTATTTGAGAGAGAGAGAGTGAGATTGAGAGAGAGAGCACACCAGCAGAGGGGAGGGGCAGAGGGAGAAGGAGAAGCCGACTTCCCGCTGAGCAGGGAGCCATATGTGGGATTTGATCCCAGGAGCCCCAGATCACGACCTGAGCCAAAGGTGAAATTTAACCGACTGAGGCTCCCAGGTGCCATCATCAGTCATGATGAAAGTATGCTTCTGTATCATGTTTATCTTTTGTCAAGTGTCTGTGTTGCTACATCGTTTTCAGTACCAAAACCAAATTTAACATTTTCTCTTGTTGGACATTTTAGGCTACTTTTACTGTCTCTTTATTAGAAAATTATGACTATTCTCCTGCTTATATTATTTTTTATTGTTATTTGAAATATTTCTTGATAAATTCTTCTCAACAATGCATATCAAAATTCCTAAATACAATATGGTCATGAATCATATTGCTACATTGCTTTCTTAATGGGTTTTCCCAACTTAAACTGTAGCCAGTACTTGATGCATGTACCAATTTTACCACTGTCTTTGCACCATTTGGACATTATCATTATTTTTATCTAATTTAGTAAGTATAAAATGTACCTTGCCTTATTTTGTATATCTTTGATAATTAGTTAAGTAGTATATAGTTTTTTTTAAGATTTTATTTATTTATTTGACAGAGAAAGAGATCACAAGTAGGCAGAGAGAAAGGCAGAGAGAGAGGGGGGCACACAGGCTCCCCACTGAGCAGAGAACCTGACGCGGGGCTCGATCCCAGGACCCTGAGATCATGACCTGAGCCGAAGGCAGAGGCTTAGCCCACTGAGCCACCCAGGTGCCCCTATAGTTGTTTTTTTTTAACAAAAATATGGAACACATAGTGAGAATTAGGTATTGTACTAAGTTGGTCTCATCCCAACACTTGGATTAGCAAGTGTAGGAAGAGAACAAAAGTATATGTATTTAGTGTGACTCATCACTCCACTTGTAGACTCTAGGGGAATCACCTGGCTTCATGAACCGATGCTGCCTTTGAGACTTCTTAAACATCTAGCTCATCAAGTCAGGTTTAGTGAAGACTGAATTACTTCTTAGAAAGTCAGTGAGTTTTATGATGATTCCACTGTTGGTGAGAGAAAGTAAAAGGAGACTGGATAGCTAATAGATTGGTAGCCCTCCAGTAAATGTTGATGATGATATTGGTAGTGGTTCAATAAATCAGGTCATCATTTGTCATTTAGTACCTTTTTTTTTTTAATGAGTGAGCCACCACAGGCATTTCGAAGTACTTTTCCCCCATTCATATCCTTGTCCTCACAATGGTAACATTTTAGGCAGACTTTTACCAAGGTTATCAGCCACTCTTGACAGGGAGGAGCTTTCATATTGCAGGGTCATATTGCTTGGGTTGCACTGCTGCTCTGAACATGACCTTTTGGGGTAACTGGAGGCTCAGAGCATCCTGGTTGGTGATACTGCCTGTATTGTCAAGGTACCTTGACAGTAGGTCTGAACCCACTCTTCTGCAGTCTGTTTGGATGCTAGTGATGAGTTGGGCATTGCTTGATTCTGTGTATGAGGTTCCTGGGCTTTCCTAGTAAGAGGGAAGTGGCACCTGTCCAGAGACCATTCCAAAGAAGCTCCAGAATCAGTGGTAGAATGGACAGGATCATTGTAATTACTATAGGGTTTTCTCAAGTGTCTATTTTTCAGGATTATGCTTACGTGATCCTTAAGTTATAGGGTGCTGTGCCTCAATCATACATTACTTTCATTTAATAATTGTTTATTGAACACCTACTACATCTTAGGCAGTATGGGGCTGGGGCAAACCAATGAACAGAACATTTCCTTATTTCTAAAGGTAGTTTCACATTACATAAATTATATAAAATTGATATCTGTGGGCAAGAATAGACATTTGCAAATACCTGTTTGGACAGAAGCATCAGACCTTCCCAGTGCTTGCCTAGTAGGGGCTTTAGATACATTGTTCAAGTTTGATGGTAAAGCACTTGCCTCTTACCATGCCAGTCTCATACTTACATAATAAATCTCCTTTTATTTATTGGTTGCATTTGGCTTGAGTACTTTCCAGGACTAACTTGGGGTATGAAAGTTGGCTCTTCTTCTGACTCATGTTGCCAGAGTCATAAGAAAGCTGGGACAGTTTTGTTCCCAGGGTTTTAGATGTGTCCATCTTCTCAGATACCTTTAGGGGGAAAAAAATCAGTTAAGTTTTTTCATGTTCACAGGAATTTAACAGTATTCAAATTGCTGATTATTTAAAAATACATTCTCTGAGTGTTCTCTGTTACATAGGAAGTGCACATAAATGCAAGAATTCAAGCTTCAATATATACATGCATTCCTAAATAAGTAGAACCTTTTTTCACACTGGAAGTAGACACAGGACTTTCCCAAGTTAGAAAATAGATATTTTGATATCTCATTATTTCAGGGACCTGGTTTTGACTTCTTATAGTGGCCAAAATCTGTTCGGCTGTGAGGTGAACGGATAGGAGATTCTGTGTTCTGTAATTCGCCAAAACTAAAGGGTTAGTTTGTTTTGTTTAGTTTGCACTATAGAACTAAGATTTTGAGCTAAATTAAACTTCTGCTCACTGACACTTCTGTTCTTGATACAGAGGTGAGAAAGCATCTACATGTGACTCCCTGGGCTGTGGCAGAAATCACTGAGGAAGTCTCATAGCCCCTGGGCTAGAGCACTGTGGTGGATGCCTTCATCCTGTGTATTCAGCTAAATTTCTTGAAGGCCACTTATAAAGAAAGCAGTAGAAGGACTCCTAGTTCTACTTTGGGATACTTTTAATGTTTCTCACATTATCCTCAGTTGTAAAATTGTGAAAATCCTTTATAATGGAATGTGTGTACCATACAGGACTTCTTCAAAGAAGAAGAAGGGGTAATATTGAATTTGTGGTCATTGTATGTTAGTTTCAAAATGGTGGCAGCTGAAGTGTTGATTTGGTAAGTCGATTAGGGACAGTGAGAATATTGCCAGGCTACCTGAGAAAAAGTGTCTTACTTCTGCATAAGATGAAAGCATGAAAATAATTGTGGTCTCTTAGGGCACTAATTGTGAGTTGTGCAGGCAGAGAACCTTGGAACTGTGATAGAAAGTCTTAAGCATCTGTACCTAGTCACTGGTTACCGTCCAGGAGTTAGTGGATTTTTACCGTGAAGGGTCTTTTGGACTTGTCCATTGTAATTTTGGTGTGCCTGTTTGTTGATGCAGAGTTTGTTAAACTTAAACTCTTAACCATGAAGCAGATGATAGCTTTCTTTTTCAATAGAGTTTTTCATTTTTATTAAGGTGAAATTCACATAACGAAATCAACTATTTTAAAGTGAATAATGGAGTGGCGCTTAGTACATTCACAAATGTTGTAAGACCACTACTTCTATCTAGTTCCAAAACGTTTCATCACCCCAGAAGAAAACCCTGTACCCTTTAAGCTGTTGTATCCCATTCCTCCCCTTCTCCCAGTCCCTGGGAACCCCTGATCTGCTTTACATCTCTGTGGATTTCCTTATTCTGGATTTTTCATATACGTGGAAACATATGTGACCTTTGGTGTCTGGCGTCTTTGACCTAGCATATTTCTGAGGTTCATCTGTGTTACAACCTGTGTCAGTACTTCATTCTTTTATAAGACCAAAGTAATAGTCTATTAAACAGCTATACTACAGTCTGTTTGTCCGTTCATCTATCTGTGGACATTTGGGTTGCTTCTTTCAATATACTTTGAATTCTATTAATTTCATTAGCTGGACAGATCTTACATTTGGCTTAAATATGTTATATTTATAATATAATGTTAATAAGATAATATTAATATCTTACATTTGGCTCACTTGTTGGCCCTAGTTCAGCTGAATGGTACTACCCAAAGCTAGGTTGATCCCTTCCT